GTGAGTTTCTCATACCGGCGAGAGGTTATGTCGGCCAGGTGTCCCGAAACAAACCGCTTGGTGTAGTGCCTCCCACCCTGTGGGAATAGTTACACGGTAAACGTAACCAACAAGTGGCGTTTGTTATTTTAAGAACCAAAGCTGTCGCCTTAAGAATGAAGGCAACTGAGTAGAATACGAACGAACAAAGCTTTGAAAAATCGGATGTGCAGTTTCGGATTTAAATGAGCGAAATCCCATGTCGGGAACCAGTGACTAGTGATTCATGTTTAGCTCAGCTCCTTACCCTAATTGTTGTTGTGTACGTAATGTTTTGGACGATGGTGTTGGGTTATATCTTGTGGCCGCCGCCGTTCAAAAACCTGTCAATCTAATCTTATCACCATCTTCGAGTCCCTTTTCCATACCTGCGTCTGTATTTGCCGACACGGTCGGCAGTGATTTCTGTTTGTTTTGCTTTTTGACGTCGCGGCGTTTTCAGTGTAGAGTGTCGTCATGGCGACCTGTGCTGTCGAGACGCAGTGGAAGACTGCCGCGTGTTTCCCCCGAGTCCGTGAGTCAGATAAAGCCGTCATAAAGGTGATGATTGGGCGTCGTGAGGCCACGTGCGCTCGAGTACGCCCTACACCCGCTAACAAATGAGTCAAATTTTTTTTGTAAGTTTTTTTTTGTAAGTTTTTTTTGTAAGTTCTTTTTTGTAAGTTTTTTTTTGTAAGTTTTTTTTTGTAAGTTTTTTTTAACTGTAATTATTATTTTTAAGTAAGAATTTTTTGTACACAATGCATTTGAAAGTCGCATCCTCACTTAAGTTTCTAATGTGTAATTTTTTTTTATTTAAAACCAAAATTAATACTCCAAAATTTTTAAACAAAAACGTCAACCTGCTGTTTGTCAGTTGATTTTGACCGTCGATATTTTGCCAGTGTGCCGAAAACAAGGGATTCGCTGCGCGCTCCGCCTGGAAGACGTGAAGCCAGTGAAGCCTCGTCGCGTTCACCTTGAGGCAACATAAACGGTTACGTGCTCTCGCACTCCGTTGAAACCGATGAAATCATCATCATCGTCGTCGTCTTGGAGGCGACTTTAAGTTTGTTCTTTTTTTTTTGTTTTTTTCATTTGTATAGTGCGCGCCGAATTAGACCGCCCGCCAGCCCGTGGCCACTCGTTGCCATGCCGGGCCTGTTGGGACAGCTGATACGGGCTGAACCAGGCTCGCTCAGCAAACAGAGATTGACGTATCCAAGTCGGCCATTTCTCTGCAGACGTTTGGGAAAGTTGTCCAACTCTTTTTTTGGGTTCGGGGGAAAAAAGCAGTAGCACTTCGGCGGTGATATGAGAGCTGCAGTGTTCGGCACACTGCACTGACTAACGAGGCCCCACGCTTCGCGCATCGAGTGTTCCTCTGATAGGAAAGTTTCGGATCGAGAAGTCGATGACGGTGGCAAGAGTTCGCCTCTCGTTTCGGTAATTGGCCTTTTTCGTTTCCGGGCCGACCGGCGCTTTGAATAGCAACGGAGTAATCTGGCCTCCAGCACGGGCGAACTCAATATTTTCAATTTTAATTATCTATTTTTTTCAAAACGGAGAGGTTGACCAATTTGCGTGTTCCATGTCGTGACGATGCGTCATGTATTGACGACCGGGTAGGTGACAATTAAAACTTGCTCGCTAAAGTCACCCCGCCCACACTGACTGTCCCTCTCACACTTACGGGGCGCTCTGGGATGGAGAGAGAGAGGGGGGTGGGGGAGAGGTGTTGCAAGCGACGGGTGGGCGATAAAACTAATAATGATTGTTGGTTTCCGCCGCCACCCTTCTCCGCCCGTTCTCCTCAAGGAGTGTTCCAGTGATAGCGAACTGCATCCCGCGCGAGCCGACCTTGGGTCACGCGTGGAAGTGACGCCCGTCTCTCTCGCACTCGCAGGCTCACGCGGGCAGAGCCGGCGTTACGTAATACGCGAACGGCACGCCTCGGGTGCAAGGCCTGGTTCAATCGCGCAGTGCAGGCGACGGACACGCTGATAGCGAAACTGAAAAGAACGCAGAGCGGCTAGGGACTCTGCGGCAGAGGCGTGATTTTCGTGCCCCCAATTTGACTAACGTAGTGCTCCTCCTTTGTTCGTGTCCGACCTCATGCCCCCCAGTGTAGTAGCGGTACTGCCCGCCGGCCGCTGCCCACTTAGCGGAGAAGTGTCGGGGCTGCCAGTGCCGTGGCCGTCGGGCAGACTGTGAGTTTAAATAAAGGCACACTTTGGTCAAGGCCCTCAACACAAAACACAATTCTTTTTTGGAAGTAATACCAAACCATGACTTAAATTATTCTAAAAAGGATCATTTAATCTTGGTACCAGAGGTATTCACTCATGGTTTTTCACAGTTTAAAAACGGTCTAAAACAAATATACTAACCGTTTTCGATAAGGTACGTTGTTTTTTTCACCCTGAAGTTGGCAACGTCTGGTCTAGTTGCTCCATATCGCCTCCGATGCTGACCACGCCGTCGTGGCTGGCTGACGCATAGGCAAGTTCGATAGACTTCTGGTGGCTGCGTGGAGCTCGATCATGAATACCGTTCTTTTCCGCTGCGCATCTCAATTTTTGCGTGTTCCTTCTGCCGGCCGTGGCCGTGTGTTTGCACTGGGGTCTCCCGTTCACCTGCACTGAGAAAAATGATTGACTCATGGGATGAAAACTTTGACTCCCAGGCTAGAACACTTCAATGAAAATAGAACTGGTCAAACCTTTGATGGAGATACTCAAAGCAGTTTGATCAGCGTGTTTGGTTCCAGCCCTCAAACTACTTTCAACACCATAATTCATTCGATGCACGACGACCTTAAATCAAGTTCAATGTGTGTCAAAGAATTGATCCGTTACTGTGCTCAAACGTTCAATTGGTTCCCAAAGCAAATCATCTGTCTAAATTTTGTAAAAATGTCACAGAGCAATCCCTTTCCCGCCGGTATTTGATACCCGCAGTCCATTCCCTTGCTAGTAATAAGCTGTAAACAGTTTCCGATGAACTGTGCAAGGGAAAACTGGTTACGCACCGACCGGGAATCGAACCCCGGACGATCTCGGTTTACCATCCAGCCTCCAGGCACGGATCCAACTGAGCTACCGTGACAACTGGGTAGAGGCGAGAAGAAACAGTGTGTGTTGAGACGGCATGTGACGTCATTCCCGCAAGTCTCTTTGACTGCAAATATCGGCTGTGGAACCTGTTTGGTCACGGAGATGAATCGGAAATCAATTACGGAAACCGATCTTCTTTAGGCGTGTGCATTGATCACGATTGATTATGGCACCATGAGCGTTTAAGGCCTGCAGTAAAAAACTTTGACCATCGAGATCGAAGTATTTGATTTCCACCAAAAAGTGGACTGGTTAATCGACATTTAATGCTGGGAATCAAAGATTTCATGCCACCATTCAATCATTTTTCTCAGTGTGCTGGAGTTTTCATACCTCTCTCTCTCTCTCTCTCTCTCTCTCTCTCTCTCTCTCTCTCTCTCTCTCTCTCTCTCTCTCTCCCCCGCTGCTGGAGAATGAATGTACTTCACCCTCGTCGCCCAACTTGGCTTGTTCCTCCTCCGATCATAGCCTGGGTTTTGCATGCCAGAAAAAAGGAGCCTCGAAAGGGTCGGGGCAAAAGGTCCCTCGGGGACCCTCGCGATGTGCGATCGCCGCCCTCGACGCGGTGTTTGTCAATGCATGGCCGGCATCGACGCATATTGACCTGCTCCGTCAAGGGATTGATTTCCCTCCTCGCCCGGGGACGAAAAGAGGACAAAAAGGCTGGAAAATGAATAAAAGAAAAGGTTCTCTGGCGGCTGAGACGGGTGCTAAAAGCAGCTCAATGGCGATGGGTGCCGTTGCTGTTTGTGGGTCCTCGACGGCAGCAGACTGATTCGAAGAGTCGCTCTGTCTCTCTCGCACCCATATGGGACGCCGCATGAGTGCGAGAGAGACAGAGCGACGACTCTCGGATTCGGTCTACGGATGGCGGTAGCTCGAGGCAACTGCAGATCTCGCGTTGCGCGAACTCCCCCGTGGCGTGCCTACACTGTGCCTAGAGCGGAGCAAAGCGGAATTGCGAAATGGTGGAGCAGCTCAAGGCCGTCGTGGAGCGCTCCGCGACGTACCTTGTACCGCCGTGTCGCCGGACTCGGCCGGCACGCGCACAGTGGGCCAGAGGACTGGTGGAGGCGGCCAAAACTCTAGACGCGCTTTGACCTCCAGAGTCGCTAAATGGGACTCGAACCGAACGTGTGACCCCACCAATGGATTCCTCGTTCGGAGAGCAATCCATTGGTGGGGTCACACGTTCCGTTCGAGGCCCATTTAGCGACTCTGGAGCTCAAAACGCGTCCGGGATTTTGACCACCTGCGCCGGTCTTCTGGCCCACTGTGTCGCTCCTGACGTTGTTTTCGGCCTCGTGGTCCTGCTGCCGGCCGAGCCGGTGTGGCCAGTGTGGTGGCATTGACTCTGCATCATTGCATCGTGCGTGGGACGACCCCGGATGCCTCGCTGTGGCCCAGTGGCCGTGGGCCAAGGCAGGCCGCAGGAACAGATAAATCGAAACAAAACTCCTCTTTTGCGACTCAACTTTTCGGCAAGGTAAAACAGAGAGTTGGCGCGGCGTTTTGCTAGTCGTCTTGTGATCCGTCCCTGGAATTTTTCAGTGGCTGTGTCGTTTGGTTCCTTTGCGCGCGTCCTCTCTACCTAAACTTGGCTCTGCTTCTCCAGCTGCCGTGGCTCCAGCGGCGCCCCGCCTCAGTTTGCCAACTCCTTCGGCGTGCAGTGCGCCCCCCGCCCCGCCCCGCCCCGCCCCGCCCCGCTAAATGCGGTCTCTCTTATTGAGTTGAATGTGTCTTCGGTAGTGCGCCATCGGCCGCCATCGGCCCGGCAAGTGGCAAGTTTGGCGAGGCCGCCCGTGCGGAGTGCGGGTCGTGGGGGTCTCCTTGTTGCGGGGGAGGAGCGGCGCTGCGGCGCTGCGG